GCAGTGGATAAGGGTCAGCTAGCAGATAAAGCTCCTAGAATAGTGGCTTCTCACCAAAAGGTGGGTTGTTTGAACCCACCAGTAGCTCCATGGAAGAAAGACTGATTTACTTCCATAAAATTCACAACCTTGGAAACCTTATAGGTGGGGTTGAGTCAGAATCTACTCTCTGGGAATTTAAAATAGTGCTTGATCTGTAGTATGTGCTTATGAGATGTATGCTCCTCAGAGAAGGTGTGACTTGTTAGAACAAAGACTGGATGTTAACTAGTCAGCCTGACTGCATAGATCCGTCCCCTGTGTTAATCTCATCACATGGTAATTGGTGATACCTGGGTTGTCAATTTATGGGTCAAACCAAAAGGCTTCCTGCACAGTTTCCAGAATCTTGTGAGCTTTTCATTCCCTGATGTGTTTTCTATTAGAAGCAGAAGAACAACCCCGGGAGGTAACCTGAATTCATAATCCGGCTCTAGTTTTCGACAGACTGTTTTTAAAGCGGACACAATTTTGTTTCCCAAGCTTATAAAAAAAAACAAACACCAACAAACTGCAGAACATTAATTTCTTATAGAAGAAGGAAGAGCCTTCATTCGTATTCTGTGCTTTGCTCCAGGTGGTAGCCTGGTAGCCCTTGAAGACAGCATTGACTGTGACTGAATCCCTCTCTCACCTTTCTTTCAAGCTCCTGAGTGGTGCAAAAGGTTTACATGCTCGACTATACTGAAAAGGTTGGTGGTTCAAGCCCACCCAGGGGCACCTCAGAAGAATGGCCCCATGATGTGCTTTTGAAACGTCACAACCTTGAAAACCCTATAGAGTGTGGCTTTATGCTGGGACAGGTGGGATCAACAGGAGTTGGAATCTATTCCATAACAACTTTTTAAAACCCTCTGTTCCTTGTTTTGCTTTTCACCTTCTTTCCTTAAGGGGCCTTGGTGTGCTGTAAGGTTTGGTGTTGAGCTGCTAACCACAGGCTTGGTCTAACGCAGTAGTCACTTCTTGGGGGAAGGATCGGCTGTCTGCTCCTGTAAAGATTTTGTCCTGGACACCCTATCTCGGGTCACTATGAGTCACAACCAACTGGGGGGCGGAGTACGAAAGGTGTATCAGTTGGGCAGTGTTAACCTTTTCATAGGAGCCCTGTCTCACAGGTCTTCAGTTTGGACATTCATGTCTGGATTCTCTTTGTTTCCTTGACCACTGTTAAAATAGAGAAATACAGGTATGCAGATCAAACATTTTAAGCATGGAAGAAGACCGTGGGCTGTTCTGGCACTGACGATCTGTTACTGGGCAGTCAGTCAGCCCGTCGTGGTCCATGTGTAGACCAGAGAGCCCTCAGCTCTTTCCCGTTTCCCTTGTACCTACTCCTGAGGTTTACGCCCCCACACCTTTCGACAGCTTTATGGAGTTATTAAGGACATGCCACGACTCTCAGGTTTTACCAGTAATTTGACTTTGATTCTTGTTTAAACTACTACAGTGTGTTAGAAAAGAGGTTTGGATTTGAAGCCAGAGGGGAAGAGAAAAGGGAAATCACATCGATTGAGCGCTTGCCCTTCACCATTCAGTTTATCAGATCTTTTGTGTGCTGCTACTGTGAGCCAGAAGTTGTGAAAGCAATCTAGGAAAGTGGTCAAGGACAAATGTGCCGGAGCCAGGCTGTGTGGGTTTGAATCCTGGCTTCACCAATTACTAGGCATAGGACCTTCATAACACCCCCTCCTAACCCCCATAGAAGTGTGTACCTAGGCTTCTCCAAGGTTTTATCAGAACCTTCTCAGCAGGTATCTTCATGACTGACTTCTTTTGTGCCTCGGGAGCTAGGATGTCACCAGTGTCTACCTTGTAGAATGTTGTGAGGATTACATGACTTAATCATTTAGAGCTTCACTGCTCTTGACATCATCCTAAATGCGTGTGCGTGTGTGTAGGGTCGAGCCACTGTGTGTGTGTGTGTGTGTGTGTGTGCGCGTAGGGTTGAGCCACTAAGTGCGTGTATGTGTGTATGTAGGGTCGAGCCACTAAGTGTGTGTGTGTGTATGTGTGTAGGGTCGAGCCACTATGTGTGTGTGTGTGTGTGTGTGTGTGTGTGTGTGTAGGGTCGAGCCACTAAGAGGGTGAGTTTGGGATATAAAACAGGTCACCATAATGAACTATGGTAATGTATGGTGAGCTTTGCATAGGAGCGGAGTGGGTGTAGCAGGTGGACCCAGTCTCGCTCACGAGTGTTCTAGAGGAAGTGTTATAGAACCTGCAATTAAAAGTAAAAGTTAGCTGGGCTGGGGTTGGGGAGAAGAGGCTATATTCGGTGTTTTGGACAGAAGGATTTTATATGTCAAGGTCTGAAGAAAAGGGGATCATGTAGGATTTAAGGAACAGAAGAAATCCAGGGAGTTTGGAGTTCGGAGAAAGGTGAAAATTATGAGAGATGAGGTTGGTGATGAAGGCCAGAGCCAGATTATGGGGAACCTTGTGAACATATTAAGGAGTCTGAGTGACTAAAAGCCAGGAACTGTCCTTAGGGAGTTTCTTTTTTTTTCTTTTTAGGGGTTTTTGTTAATTCTTTTAAACACCACAACTCTTGTGACATCAATGTTTTAGCCCCATTTTGTTTATGGGAAATTGAGACTCAGAGAAAAGATCACTTCATAAAGACATGCTTAGAAGGTCAAACAATCAGGATTTCAGCCTCAACCTCAGTGCCGTCACGTCAGTGCTGACTCAGAGCGTACCCCTGTGGGTTTCTGAGCCGTCACTGTTTGTGGGAGGAGAAAGCCCAGTCTTTCTCCTAAGGACCTGCTGGTGGTTTTGAACTGCGGCCATGAGAATCCATGAATTACAGCCCACCTTGTAAACACTACACTGCCTAAATCTCTCTACATCCAAAGCTAGAATTCACAGAATGTCTCTTGAATGTTAGATCTGGCCGGTAGCTTTATGACTTTGGGTCACCTGCTTAATTTTCCTGAACCTGTTTACTTACTAGTAAATTGGAATTTAATTAGTTAGTTATATGTTAGTAAATGTCAGCTTTATAGACTTGTGAAGACAAATGGAGATATAACTTGCATGTCAAATATTGAGTATAGCACATGACATATAGCAAGTGCAGCTACTGCTTATGGGCCCCAGTTCTGGTGCAGAACAATGTTTTTCCTCTGTGGTTCCAGTGAACTAGATAGAAGTCTATATAAGTCATTGGTTTGGTTTGCTACAGTTCAACTGAAACCCATATAGAAACACCTTTTACAAAGGGAATTTACTTAACCGATTACATGGAACTGTGTGTGACCTCCTCCCTGGGGGACAGACAGCCGAAAAGTGGGTGAAGGGAGACGTTAGACAGGGCAAGATATGACAAAATACCCATTTATAAACTATCAAGGGCTCAAGAGGGAGGGAGGAACGGGGAGGGAGGGGAAAAATGAGGACCTAATGTTGGGGGTTAAGTGGAGAGAAATGTTTTGAGAAATGATGTACAAATGCGCTTTACACAATTGATGTGTGTGTGGATTGGGATAACAGTTGTATGATCCCCTAATAAAATGTTAAAGAAAAAAGTTTCAAAAATAATAATGGCAACATGTAGAAATATGCTTGATACAATTGATGTATGGATTGTTATAAAAGTCCCCAATAAAATGATCTTTAAAATGTAAAAAAACAAAGGGAATTTACTTTGTAAATTCTGGCCCTGCAACACTGCAGCAAGATGACCTGCTTCTCCTTTTGCCCTCAAGCACATTTCCTCTGTGGGCCCCTTGGCATCCATTTCCCCTCCCTCAAGTGTGCATTGGACTTGTGAGGCCTTTCCTGTGTGAAATGAGCTCCACTGTTGGCTTGAACGCTTTTCGTCTCCTCCTTAACAACAAAAAAACACCATTTTTCATGTTGGTCTCAAGGGCAGCAGCCATCTCACCTTTGCAATTTCTTGGGTGCTTAGCACAGTACGATAGTAGGTACTCAATAAATTACAAGCCCCCGTGCAAGACTTTCAGGACACCAAGACTTCTTTGTGTAGTGGACGTTTGTAGTTCTTATTTTTAATCTTCCCAACCATTTTTGAAATAGAGGAGATATTGTTCTTTTTTAGCACACTTGGAGAAATGAATATCTGTGATCAAGCGCTATGTCATTCATTCATTCATTCATTCCTTTTACGAAGTGTCACCCTTGTTCCAGAAGCTGTGAGAATAAAGGTGAAAGATGGAGTTCCTTTCCTCGTGGATGAGGTTGACCTTTGAACCAATAGTATACAGCAGTGGAAGTTTTAGGGTAGAGGAATGATAAAAGGCGAAAGGGGGAACACTTAATTATTTGCGGGAAGACCAGGGAATCCTCAGAAAGAAAGAGAGCCTGGTGTTTGATATTGAGGGACTAAATGACACAGAAAGGGTGGGAGGTAGCCTGTCCTAGGCAAAGGACAGGTCATATGCCAAAACTCATAAGAATGAACCATCAGATCCTTTGGGAGGTACTGTTGGGTCAGGATGGCTGGCAGAATGCATATAAGAATGGGGTGGGTAGGAAAGGGAATAATGGCTTCAGGCCCCACCAGTAAGACCCCAGAGTCCTCAGGACCTGCAGCAAATGAAAAGAGGCTTTCACAGGTCCCATGAAACAGCCCATAAACCACCTTTACATCTTGGACAGGTTCTCCTCTGTACCCCCAGCTAGTCTTCATATATCCTTTACCTGCTCAAGAAACCAGACCTTACCATGTGAGTGACCTGTGACCTGACTACTTGGAAGAATAAAGGTTACCAGGTGACAGGACACGCCACTTACTCTGTGGCATGAGCTAACTTGGAAGGAGCAAAGTCCGCTTGTGACCAAACGCGTTCCTCTTTCATTGGCAGAAGCGTCAGAGGTGTTCGCTACGTTGCTCTTCAGATGAGTCAGACTGCTGTTTCCAAGAGGTGGGACTGGGGCAGCCTGAGCTCTGTGGACAAGTCTAACCAAGTCGATCACACTCGTCTGTGTTTGCCTTTCAGCTGTGTAAATGAGTATGGAAGATTATGATTTCCTGTTCAAAATTGTTTTAATTGGCAACGCTGGTGTGGGGAAGACGTGTCTGGTTCGACGATTCACTCAGGTAAGGGGGCTTAGAAACCAAGGTTGGGCTTCCTAGTCTAGCCTGTGGGGTAGGGAAATCAGATGGGTAACTGTTCCCAGTGCCAGCCTCTTCACTGCAAGTTCCTAACACACATTTTTAAAGGTGTATCTGTTTTGTACTCTACTAGAATGCCTTAAACCGCCTCAGAGGAGCATGGCTACATGGGCCACCACCAAATCTCCAACACCGCTAGTTGCTTCCTCTAAAGCAGTGGTTCTCAACCTGCCTCATGCCGGGGCCCTTTGATACAGTTCCTCATGTGGTGGTGACCCCCCCCCCCAACCATACAATTATTTTGTTGCTACTTCATAACTGTAATTTTGCTACTGTTGTGAATTGGGCGACCCCTGTGAAAGTGTCGTTCAATCCCCAAAGGGGTTGCGACCCACTGCTCTAAAGAAAGAAGTGAGCGGTTTTGCTTTCAGTGTGCAGTATCAAAAATAGATTATTAGTTAATAATCCAAAAATGGTAACAATTGAATATGGGCATCAAATAGAACCTAGAAATTTTTTTTAACTCAAAAATAAAAGTTTAACTAGTCAAACTCTCTGCCTATTCTCCCTCACACTCTCCCAGGAAACTGAGTGAAACATTTTTACTCAGCTCAAAATATGCTGATTTTAAAAGTTCATTAAATGTGAATGAGATGGGGACAGTGAGGAATTATTTGAATGGAATTGAATGTTTCCTCCGGTTTGAGCCCTTATCTTGTGACTTAAGTACAAGTTCTCTTTGGGGCTGCACTCTTGAGAAGCAGTGCCAGAGGTTATTAAAAAAAAAATAATGAGCAAGGGATTATTCTGAAGTTGACCTTCTGTATTTCCCCCCTTCCCCCCCAATGTGAATGGTGCCCTTGGTAGGGTCATTTTGCATGCATCTTGCATTTTCATGACGTGATAGCTGTAAAATGTTGCAAAAGAACATTGGCTTGATAGTCCAGGCACAGGTGCTAGACCTGCTTCTGCCTCTGTCTTGCCCTGTGAGCCTGGGTGAGTGACCGCTCATTCCCTCGGCCTCCCGCTTATACCTGTGGGGTCAGACACTCTCTAAGCCCCCTTCAGCTCCAAAATTGGTGATTTGTGGAAAACTGGAGAGGCATGGTGGGTACACAAAGAGCCTTCGGGGTGAGGGTCACCCTTGGGAATGTAAGGTTGTGTTTCGCGGGATAAAAGAACTCGGACTAGAACCACGGTCCTCATCAACCCTTGGCCTAGTTACATCAAAAGCAGGAAGTGAAGGGCGCCTGGGCTCAGCCAGCCTCCAAGGAGTGAGATGGCAAACTCCAACTGGTTTTCCTGTTCCTTAAGAGTAGTCAGCCTTTCTGCTTTGGGCAGAAGGACAAGAATTCGGAGACACAGAGGAATTGCCAGCCCCTTTATCAAAGGTTTCCTTGACTTTATTACTGAAAGATTCCTTAGAGAGTATTCAATCCACTCATCTCATTTTGCACATAAAAAACTCAGGTCTAGAGAGACTGGAAGACTTACCTAGCATCTCACATCCTATTAGTGGTGCACCAGAATTCAAACCCAGGACTAGTTCTCATCCTGATACATTTTTAAAAAAATTCTTGTCCTTTGCAGTTTTATTTACATCAGCCTGATAATTTTATCTTTTGCATTTGAAGCCATAGGATTCAGGCCTTTCCCTTTAAAAACATAAACCTTGTCATTAATGGTGAAAATGCTTTCATTTTTGAAAACAATTTTCCAACACAAAGCACCCATTGTTAGGTGTCTTTTCCATTTTTTACACCTCCCAGCCTCGCAAACTCTTGCAGAAGTTTTTGCTTTTTAGATAGGATTGGGCTATTTACTGGGCAGTTAAAATGGATTGGGGGAAATTTTGGATTCCTCTGTTTTTGAATTGCAAGGCATTGCAGAACTAAATGATGGCGCATTGGGAAGGGATTGTTTTAGTTTTTTGATAGGCTGCAAAAGAACTGGAGCTATCAATTCAAAGTTTTGCAGGTTAGTGATTGAGGCAAATCAAAATAAAAGAAAATTCATTCAATATCTTTAACATGAATGCTTATTATCTTTTACAATCATGCAATAGAACATTTTCAGTAAGCACATTACTGCATAGAAATCCAGTAAAAGTGCATTTTCTGTTGACTTCTGGGAATTCTGGAATGCAGAGGGTGAGGGAAAGGAAACTAGGAGAGAGTTCTTGTTAGAATTCCTTCCTATCTCTAATTTAGTCTCCACATTTACAGGAAAGAGTATGTAATAGAAAAAGGCCGGGAGGAGGGGAAAAAATGAGGACCTGATGCTGGGGGCTTAAGTGGAGAGCAAATGTTTTGAGAATGACGAGGGCAATGGATGTACAATTGTGATGAGTCGTATGAGCCCCTAATTGTGGGAATCAGAAGGATTTCTCTTAAGCTGTCTCCCCCAAAATATGTACCAGACTTAGCTGCTTAAGAATCACTGTACAATACGCAGTCAGCGAAAGTAGGTCAGAGGTTATTCTACTTAACATCAGCCATCTAGAGCGGCCAGACTGTATAGTCTGACTCACCCCAAATAGGGCCCATTCCCTTCTGACATTATTCCCTTGAAGCAGTGCCCAAAAGCAAACCCGGGACCACTCTAAGGTGACTAGGTCATCCCCCTCCTATTGCTTGTATTGCCTATGTTGCAATCCCTCCCTATGACACAGGTTGTTGTGAATTGTATTGCCCCCCTCTGTGATGCATGATGCTGTGATGTATCCCCCTAAAGTGATATGATGTGTGGTTAGCAATAAATAAGGAGGCTCCTTGGTTCTCGAGAGAGCGGTGGACGGGAGGGCTGCTCCCATGAGGGCGGTGGACGAGAGGGCAGCTCCCGCGAGGGAGGCGGCTCCTGCTCTGGCAGCCTGGTTCCCCCCATGAGGACCATCAAGCGGGGCGGAGGTGAGCAATGCTACCATGTAATATGTCTGACTGTATTATTGTATTATCTCTCATGCTCTCGATGATTTTAATATAATGCTTATATATCTCAACTGTACAATTGTGCATTCCTGAACCCAGAAATAGTATTACTGAGCCTGCGATTAGCAGTGGGGCTGGCCCCTCACCTCTCCCGTGCCAATTTTAATTTAATACTACACCTAATAAAACGATTAAAAAGAAGAAGAAGAAGAAGAAGAAGAAGAAGAAGAAGAAGAAGAAGAAAAACCCACAGTTTTTTGCAAGCGAAAAAAAGAAAAAGGCATTCAACATGTAATTTTGCTAAAATTCTGTTTGGTTGTGTAATGCTAACAAGGATCTCATGTGCACTTGCTTTGAGAACTTTTGATTTGGAGGGCAGTCAGAGATGACACTCATTGTCCCATTTCCTCCCAGTTTAAAAAGGGGGACTCTGAGGTCCAGAGGTGGGGTTACTTGAGATCACACAGAGATCCTGAGGCAGCGTCCCCCTTCCTTAGCCCCATCGCTACCTTACATGTTCCTCAATCTTAACTTACATGTCTGATTTTCTGTTTCACATTTTGAAACCTGCTGCTTGCCCTTCCTTCTTGCAGTTCCCTCATTTCACCCCTGCCGTTCGTTTCCTCCCTTTCTTTGTCTCTTTCTCTTTCTCCTCCCATCTCCTTCACTCCTCCCTTCCCCATAAAACATACGAAGGGGATTCAGAAAGTTCGTGGGAAAATGGGTTTAAAGGAGAATGGAATTTTCCCAGGAACCTTTTTGAAACTCATCTGCACAAAGCTACATGAAACAGGGCTCTCCTGACACGAAGCAACGTTCTCTTTTTTATCAGCATAGCTGAGCAGAAGGAAGGGCCCAGTGATGGGTGGGAGAATTTTGTTTAATTGCAAGATTTGCCTTACTCCTTAGGTTCCATAATTTATTTGGCCTAATGCCTACTTTTCAAGGAAAAAAAAATTACCCAGTGCCTCCCTGGCAATTAAAGGCTTTTGTATATCAGCTCATGAGGAGCATTGGTGGGATAGTGGGTTATACATTGGGCTGCTAACCACAAGGTCAGCAGTTTGAAACCACAAGTCACACCGGGGGATAAAGATGAGACTTTCTACTCTCATGAAGAGTTTTCCAGGCTCAGAAATTCACAGGGACAGTGCTGCTCTGTCCTGTAGGATCATGCGTCAGGACCAGCCTGATGGCCGTGAGTGAGTTACAGCCTTTCATCCAGGATACAGTGATGGTATCTGCGGCAGCTGCTCCCCTGGATGATCCCAGCGCCCTCTTGGGGGTGGTATTGACCACTTTGGGAAACACTGGCTTAATTGATTTCATTTTTTCTCTAGGGTCTTTTCCCCCCAGGTCAAGGAGCCACAATTGGAGTTGATTTTATGATTAAGACAGTGGAGATTAATGGTGAAAAAGTAAAGGTAAGATGGCAAATGCTTAATGAGACCTCGTTGTGCTCTGTTAAAGTTTAGAGGAACTTGGGTTTTTCTAACATGAAATCGCGTAATTAAAAATCATGCAGAAAATAATATACTCAATCATAGCAACTTATTTTCAAACTGAGTTCTTCTAGTGTCGTTATGGGGGCAGCGAGGGGTTGCAAATGATGTGTTTACAGCTTTGAAGACAGCAGAAAGAAGGACCAGGACTAGTTTGCCTGGTCTCCTGTCCTGTCACAAGTGATCCTTATGGATATCCTGGATTGGGCCAGGAAGCAGGGCTGTCTTCTTTGAACAACAGCCCCATACTGATGACCCTTCATGATGGGCCACTCAGTCGCACTAAGTCCAAGTGTACTAGCATCATCCTCTCACTGTACTCGTTCCTCTAGCAAGTGTCTAGCGAGGTAATCAAAGAGCCATCCAGGAAAGGACCCTACATGTTCGAAATGCTCTCCACACCTAGATGGTCTGGAGTCTGGAAGAAGTACTAGAGGAAGGAGATCATTTTTAATGAGGTCCTACTATGTGTGTTGGACATGTTATCAGAAGAGACCAGTCCTTGGAGAAGAACATGCTTGTTAAAGTGGAGGGTTAACAACAACAACAAAATACTTATGATGAGATGGATCAACACAGTAGCTGTCACACTGGGCTCAAGGATAACAACAATTGTGAGGACGGCACCGGGCCGGGCAGTGTTTTATTCTGTTGTACACAGGGTCGTTCCGCGTCAAAGCTGACCCAGTGGCACCTAACAATCGCAAACTATATGTTAGCCCCTCTGTAAAGTGTATAACTTAATCATTAATACCTAAACCCTATATAGTAGGTGGTGGTATTCTCATTTTACATTTTAAGAAATGTGAAATAATGTAGTTCTTCATGGTTACCCAGTTAGGAAGTCATACAGTCAGGATTCGAGTTAGTTTTGCCAACCAGTATACCACACTGTTCTTTCGAGTTCTCCTTGTCGGGAGAGAATATGAGAATGAAAACATAATAGGCACAACACTTCAGCACAAGGAAAAGCGGAAGGTGATTGTATTAGTCTAGGTACTTTGGAGAAACAAATCCATGGCGACTCACGTATAAGAGAGAGTTTTATGCAAAGAAAATGTGCATCACGAAAACATCCCAACCCAATGCTGCCCAAGCCCACAAGTCCAACATTAACCCATAC